TTTTTAAAGTGATTGGTAGTATTTTGGGGTAGTTTTTGTTTTTCTTTGGTGCCTTTGAGTCAGCGTTGATTCCTGGTGACTGCCTGGACAAGTCCCTGCAGTTTTCTTGGCAAGGTTTTTCAGAAGTGGTTTGCTATTGCTTTCTTCTTCCGAGGGCTAAGAGAGAGTGACTGGCCCAAGGTCGCCCAGCTGGCTTTGTGCCTAAGGTGGGACTAGAACACATGGTCTCCTGGTTTTTAACCACTACACCAAACTGGCTCTCTTGGGATGGATATGGACTGTTTATATCAATAAGACATATTAGCCATGAAATATGAGGTAAGAGTGAATTTCAGGCAAATAGGAAGAGGGCAAGGGAAAGAATATTCTAAAGGTCAGATTCTAGGGAGGATTCTGGAAGTGAATAGTTTTTCCCTTTAGATGAGTCAGGAAGAAAAATCCAGCTACTTTTGAAAAACATTGACAGATACTGTTGGCATCTGGATCTTTTTCCTCAAAACATTTCAGGTCTGGTTCATACATAGTGTAAGCCAGAGTTTGCTGAATATGCCATAATTGGCTGGGTTCACATACAATGCTAAGGCTAAATCATAGTTTATAAACTACAATTGGTCAATTTCCACAAACTAAATGACTGAATGCATTATGGTTTAGCCATGTGACTAACTGGACTTTGAAGAAGCAGGATAGAAAGAGTATTGAACGTTGGTGTTGGAGTAGACTCTTGAGAATGCCATGGGTAGTAAAACAAACCAAAAATGGGTTATAGAACAAATCAGTTCAGGGTTCTCACTCAGGATACAAATGACCAGGCTCAAACTATCATATTTTGGACACATTATGTGAAAACTCAGCTTCTCAAGAAACCCATAATTCTGTGAAAGGTGGAATGAAAGAGAGGAAGAGGATGATCAGCAGCAAGGTGGGTGGACTCAGTTACATTGATGATGGGTGTACTGTTGGGAGACCTGAAAGGCCAGGTTGGGGACAGGTATTGGAGAAGGTCTAGCTATGTGGTTGCTAAGAGTTGACACCAACTTCATGGCACATAATCAGTCAACTAACATGAGTAGAATTGCTGCCAAGGCCTGTTTTCCTTGGGTGTGACACACTCTCAGGGACCGTTCACTTTCTAATCATTTTGCAGAATTCCGTGAGACTCGAGCAGCTCAGGATTTCTTTGCAACCTGTCGATCACCAGAGACATGCTGTGAACTCACTCTGCAAGTATGGAGGGCCCTGGAAGGAGCTTTACATTGCTTTTAATTAGGACTGAAGTTCAGGACTTCAGTTCTGTTCAGGATGTCACTTACCTCTTAAGCCTATTTTCTTTTGTTCTTTTCTAATGTTACCTCTGCTCCACTTGTTTAATGTCTGTGTATCCTGGGTGTCTTTCCTTCTTCCTTCCTTCCTTTCCTTCTTGTTATTTATTCATCTTGATTGCACTGATATACTGCCTATATTTCTTAATGTTCTCTATCAGAACATAATTTTGAATATTTTCATTAGGTTTATTTTCATTAATCTGTATTTACCCAATGTAGTTTTGTCTTTTTTTTTGAAAACATATTAATGGCCTAAAGTTTCATTTATTTGCCTGCAAAACACTTATATGCATTGCTGACTGCTTTGGGATTTCTTCTTCCACTTTTTAATATTGTGTTTATATAATGCTTCCTTCTGTTTTCTCTCACATTGTTAAACAACTTGTCAATATTTTTTCAGTGTTCATTGTCAGGATGACAGCATCACCTTAAATGTTACTTTGGTCTGTTTTTACAATATTCACATCTTTAAAAAAAACTGGTTTTTCTTTTTTTCCGCACATTAATCTCATTTTATTTTGGTCTTTTTCTTTGATCTGAATGTAATTTTGGTTTAAACATAGAATTTTTAATTTTTTTAATTACTTTTTAATATTCATCCTTTTAATTATTTTTAAACAATTGCTTTTTGTGATCTTTTAATACTTTTCATTGGCAACTTTGTAAATCATCTTTATCTGAGCTACATCATGGTTTTCCAATCATGTGCATTTTCACTTTTTTTCCTGATTTAAATTGTTGGTGTTGCTAATCAGTGCTGCCCCCGATTATTTTTTATTGGTCTCCTCCTCCTCCTCCTCCTCCTCCTCCTCCTCCTCCTCCTCCTCATTAAGGGCTTTTCCTTTGGGGGAGGGGGGCAGGGGGATTGTGGAACATAAAAGTGGGCATGAGAGATTTGATGGGGCCCAGAGGTATTTAAGCAGCAATTTTTAAGCTGTGAAGAATATCATCCCCTAGTAACTAAAGCATTACATGCGTCTGCATGTGCACATGTACAGGGAGGGAAAGATAGGGCTTGCCTAGTCAGTCAGGGGCAAATTTCTTGAACCGAATTACTTCTCCCTTTCTTTCCATTTCATTAGACCCAAAGTTGAAGAGGTCAGCAACCTCACCATCCAGCACATTGCCCCAGGATTACCAGCATTTCTGGCAGCGTGATTGGAGTGCGTGCACGCAATTATTGTCACCCTCCAATCAAATTGTAGCTCTTGAGAAGATCCTCTTTAATTGTCACATTTTATATAACTATATTCTACTCCAAATTTACAAGAATTTCCCCCTGTTGAGTTAAGCGCTTTTGCACCTCCTGTGAATTCCAGCATGTGTTTAAAAGGATGGTGCCTCATTGGTAGAACATGAATAATATTAACAGTCTAGTACTATCAGAAGTGATGTGGATTCTGAAAAGCAATAAAACTGGTCTATAGGGAAATTCTCTAGTACACAATAGATGTATGCATGGTAGACAAAATTGTGTCATTGATGCAGCAGTGCTGGGTTTGTTAATTATCCAAGAAACGCTTAAGGCTGCCTCTGGAGCGGCCTGCAGTTACGGTTTCTTAATTTTCTTTCATATAGAAAAATGCTCCAAACAGAATGGCTGCTACTGTGCATGATATAAAATCCTAGCCCCATTTTACTTTCTTTCTGAATTTGAATGTTCAATCAAATTGCTTTATATTTTCAAATAGTTTCATTACCATCATGAATGCTGGATTCTGCATCTCTATTTCAAATATATAAGTATAAATCAAGTCTGGTTAAAATCAAGTCTAGTTAAAAACAAGTTTAGCATGTGTTGTCACCATTGTCTTTGGTTTCAGCCTCTACGACGCTTTCCTTTTGACGCTGCCATCATCTTCTCTGACATCTTGGTGGTGCCTCAGGTAAAAGAAATGGCTGGGGACAATGATATATTGCTAATGATTGTACTTGGGGGAAGAGAAGCTGACAAATGTTAAAAATCAAGAATGAGTTATATCCCATATCTTCTTGCCTCCAAGGCACTGGGCATGGAAGTGGTAATGGTGCCAGGAAAAGGCCCCACATTTCCAGAACCTCTAAAGGAAGTAGAGGATTTACTGAAGCTTCGGCAGAAGGTTGATGTGGCAACAGAACTGGGCTACGTCTTCCAGGCAATCACACTGACACGGCACAGGTTGGAGGGGAAGGTACCCCTGATTGGCTTCTCCGGTGCCCCAGTGAGTACAGTTATTTGGAAGTACATATCTTACAGGAAATCCCTGTCTGAATCTCTGTGTTTTCCTACTGGGTAGCATAGGAGCATGCTAGACACCTGTGCTGTTATCTGAGGCCAGGAGGGTTCTGAGTCTTTGGCAGCAGCATTTGACAAGTCTTTAGGAAGGAGAAAATGTCTTGGTTCTTTATTACTTCCAGCCTGACCTGTTATGTTGTTGCTCCTCAGCCATTAACTTAATAGATTGATCAGTTGGCTAGCCAGCCATCTACTCCACAAAGATCTATCAGTTTTATCTTGTGGCATGTGATTTAAGCCGGATGGGTTTTTTATCTACTGCATTCCATTCCAATAGCCTTGGCTGGACATGAAAACTAATTGTTTCACAAGCTAAGTACTTTGCTGGATGGGTTGTGTAGCTCTCCAAAATGAACAGAGTGTAAGAGAAATGTTGATAGGTTTTTAGAAGAGAGCAAAGTGCAATGCCAACCATGGAATCTGTTTAGAGTAGAACTGCTTCACTGTTTCTGCAGGGTTCATGTAATTACACAAGCTAGCTTGGACATGATAAGCTTTGGAAATAGACTTTTTTATTAATATGTGCTTTTCCTTTCTGCTCACTCTCACTCCTAGTGGACTTTGATGGCCTATATGATTGAGGGTGGTGGCTCCAACACAATGGCCAAAGCCAAGGCTTGGCTCTACCGGCATCCTGAGGCCAGCTATCGTCTGCTCACATTATTGACTGATGTTATTGTGGAATACCTGGTGAGACAGGTGGCTGCAGGTGCTCAGGTGAGTGGACCTTGAATAGTCTCTGCCCATAAGTTTGTAGGTATCACAGTTCATTAAGTAGGTCGGTCCTTGATTTCTGAAGGTGTACTATTCCCTTTATCTTTCTGCAGAAAAGGATCCCTTCAAGGAAGGGTAAATCATTGAATCAATAAATCAGTACTGTATTGCTCAGGCTACTAATCTTAGAACATAGCTTTTCATAAATATCTGATTGTATTTTCTCTCTTGTTTTTAAGAATAGATTTCTGGAGCTCATGAAGACAGATCAAAGCTGAATTTGATAGCATTGCATAGAGCACAATTCTGTATCATAGCAAACGATACGTGAAGTACTAGTCACCTTCAACTTTCAAGATTTTTGATCTGGCTTTATGAGGAGCTATTCTTCTTCCCCCAAATTATTATTCTTCCAAAAATGTTTCAAGAGGTGACCTCTTGCACCTGGTTCATATATACAGCCAGGACGGTAAGAGTCTGATGACTGTTCCTGGCCCTTCTTCCAAGTGCCTGTGGTTAGTGTTAAGATGAAACTGAGATCTATCCATATGACTAGAAACCATCTTGAACATACTGATATAGATTCTCTCCACCTAAAGCCCATTATTACATTATACCAAATATATGGGAACTGCAACCTTTGTCCTCTGCATTCTTTCACTTGAGAATAGGATTAAAAACTGCAGCTAGCATGTGACAATCTAATCCTGGAATAAAACCTTCAACAAAGACAAGAACAATGAACCTTAAGAGTTTTTCAGTGTAACTTTCTCCTAAATACATGTTTGGGGACATCTAAAGACAATTGAGACATAGATTTGTTCCAGTTGAAGAATCCTAGATTATTGACTAGAATTTTATGTTCTATGCCAGGGCAGGTTGGAGTGAATGCATTGTACAGTGGGGAGGGCCTACCAGTTAAACAGGAAGGAGAGGGGGAGAGAAGCTATTCACCAGGAAGTCATTCTGGCTCTCTGGTTGTCTCTTTTCCCAGGCTCTGCAGATTTTTGAGTCCCACGCAGGACATCTGGGGCCAGAGCAGTTTGCACAGTTTGCCCTCCCATTCATTCGGTCCATTGCCAAGGGAGTGAAGAATAAGCTGCGAGAAAATGCTCTCCCTACGGTGCCAATGGTAAGAGATGGGACTGTTTCCTTTAGCTTCTTCCTGAATTATCAGCCAGAGTTTAAAGCTATTCTGTCCAGAATGATAGCGTTCCATTTATCATAAAGACAAATATCACCTGTCATCTATTCTTCTCAATGAATGAAAGACCATTAACAGACATTTTCTAGAAGACATAAAGTAGAACAGAGAAAAATATAGGTAAAAATTTAAAAACCTGCTGGATCAGACTTAAGAGCTATATAATCCAACATTCAGATGGCTCTGGGGTGCCTGCAAGTAGGATATGAGTATAATTAGTTATGGATCCCAACAGCTAATACTAAAAAACATATGGCTCTGCTATTACAAAAAGTTCATAGCCATAGCTGATTTGTAACCAATGAAAGAGAATAACCCTTAAAGGAAATACTTGAGATTCTCTCTCTTCCTTCAGTCTCCTTTGCTGTACCTTCTTTTTCCTGACTTACCAAAACAGAATGCAGTCTACAAAGAATATGAAGTAGACTTCTAAATTAAAGAATTTGGATTTTAAGGTACATGAGACCCCCCTCCAAACCATAACTGGGGGTAATGCTGGCATTTCAGAGATTGGTTTTATAGTGCAGATTTTCCATAATCGGGTAGTAGGCAGGAGGCTGGCACTTCCATTACTCTTTATAGAAGCTTCTTTTTCACCTCTCCTGTGTCTAATTAGAAGAAAAAAGATAATATGCAAATAAATGTGTCACCATGCACAATTTTTTAAGCCATGACACAATATAACTTTTCTTCATACAGAATTTCCTATATTACCAAGCGTTCGTAACTCTATCCACATAGTCCTAATCGTTTTCTATCTTCTCCTCCTCCCCTCTCTATCCACTAGATTATCTTTGCCAAAGATGCACACTATGCACTGGAGGATTTGGCACAATCTGGTTATGAAGTGGTTAGCCTGGACTGGACCATATGTCCCCAAGATGCTCGGTGAGAAATGGGCTGTCTTCCCTTGGGAACTCTGTATGTGTGTCATCTCTTCCAGTGGCATACTTCCTCAGTTTTGTAGTAATGGAGTAGCTTGTCATAAAAGTCAAATCCCTCTCACATATGATACTTGAAAAGTAAAGGGGTGGTAGTTGAAGCTGAGTAAAGCTGCCAATCATAGGCTCTGCATGAAATGTTACCCTTGCATGGAGATAGGTTTTCTAGGACAGGTTAGGGTAATGCAGTGCAACAGATAGGGCAGAAAGTTCTCTTGCTCTTCCTTTGGAAAATTGAGTTTGGTTTTTTTATTTAAGGAAGACAAGATACCATGTGGGGAAATTTTAATTTTCTTTTCTGACTCAGCTACCTAAGAATTGCTTTTGTGGGTAACTTCTTTCATCTGCTCCAGCATTTTAACTGGAGTTAGCCGAGCAAGAAGATGGATGGATGGATTTGACTGATAGCTTACTTTTCATTCAGAGCTTAAAGTGGCATATACAGAACTCCCTCTTGCTGTCCCCAACCCCAAAAAAACCCTGTGAAGTAGGCTGGGCTGAGAGAGAATGATTGGCTCAAAGTCACTCAGTTTCTGTGGCTGAGAGTGGAGTAGAACCTGGGTTTTCCTGCAGAACATGATAGAAATGGCATTTCTTTGCTTATCGTTAACTTCAATTTAAGAGACCTGCTGTTGTTCTTAATAGCTTCTGAGGGATAGATTTTATTTTAAAATTAGCAAGTATCATTGCATGTTGAGGCAACGAAGTCCAAAAACCATTTTTATCTTGGTTAAATGCCTCTCATCCACTTTAATACTTTTTTTCCTGTTTCAGTCAGCGGACAGGACAAAATGTTACCTTACAAGGGAATTTGGATCCATGTGCCCTATATGCATCTAAGGTAAGGAAACATGCATTAACTTGTAACTCTCAGGTTATGCTAATTCCTGCAGCCAGTGGCTTCTTGTATCAATTCCTTTGTTTTCTAGCTTGGGTTTCTTCAAGCTGGGTTCCATGGAACTTGAATGGGTTCCGCTGGATGAAGGGAAAAAAAACTGTCTACAAGGGATTAAGGGGAAAAATTCCGATGCAGAGAATTTTACCTTAGTCCCTTGCGGAGAGTAAGGGGGAAAAAAAAACTCTTAAGGAAACTCTAAGGAAAAAAAAAGTCTGCAAAAGTGACTAACCCTCAGTCCTTTGTAGGAAGATTTTTCCCCTCTTAGCCATTAAGGAACAGTGTAATGGACAGGGCTTGCCAGCTGACATTCAGAAGCCCTGCCCCTCTTGATCAAGAGTTCTGGGATTTGTTTTTAATCAGTTCTACAGCCTGAAAAAGTTTGAAAACCCATGTTCTTGGTCACTTTTTGGTAAAAATATACAAGTAACCAAGACCTTTCATTGACATAGGAGTCCAGATACAAATTAAAGACAATTTTCAAATCCTAACCCAATTAAATTAACTATAGCTACGGATAAGGGTATCTATAGGAAAGGTACTTACCTTTCCTATTGCAAATAAAATCTCGCCCATAGGTTAATGAAAGTCAAAGGGCTGTTGCTACAACTGTTTCTCTGTGCTGTGGATCAAGTGCCCAATCAATGACCTTCAAACCATGCTTTTGTTATTGAAAGCATCCTGTTGGCTTGAAGGCACTGCCTTTTCTTCACTTACCTAACCCATTCACAGAATGATGCTTAGTATGAGCAAAGGGTGGTTGTACCTAATTCAGATTGTTTCCAAAGCATAGGTTGGTCACAAACTATAGTCAACTATGACCATTTGTTTGTCTAATGTTTTGAAGGCTGAAAACATGGTGTATCTTGCCTGCTAATCATTTTCACTTCCCACAGGAGAAGATCGGGGAGCTGGTAAAAAGCATGTTGGAAGGCTTTGGCTCCCAGCGTTACATTGCCAACTTGGGTCATGGCCTCTATCCTGACATAAATCCAGAACACGTAGGGGCTTTTGTGGATGCTGTGCACATGCATTCTTGCAATTTGAACAAATGTTCTTAGAGACTTGGAGAAAACTGTCCTTAAGCAAAAAAGAAAAAAGAAAAGAAATGGATCATCTGCTAAGCAAATGTTACTGTTATTGAGAGGTAACCTCCTAGAAAGGTTCTCATTGTAATAGCTATAAAGACTGCTGCAGGAACTGGCAAAAGGAACAGGGTAGTGCAGGTTTTTCACAGCATATGTTATCATCTTCCTCTCAGTTCCTACTGTGAGAACAGTAAAGGAATAGAAAGTGGATTCATTATGAAACATGTATTGCCCCAGGCATGTACTTTTTATCCCCAAATCGCTCCTACTGATTACAAAGCTAATCCAAGTGCCTCCGACAATCAGTGAACACCTTTTATTATAACTGAACTTCATCTGCCCTTCTGTGCAGGATTTGGCTGTGTCTCATCTTGCTTCCTACCCATCTGTTTCTTGCAGCAATACTTTTTTATTTTGGTTGTTTTTAATATTCAGAAGTGCCACAAGAGTGGTGCTGATGATGTGAGAAGAAGTTCAAAGCATATGAAAAGCAGGAGACATACCTCACACATATGCCTGAACGGTCTGTTTCTGCAGGTTAAGTACCCTATGTCTGAGGAAGGAATAATCAGCCTCCTTTTAGCTTATATGCAAATATCTTCTTGATACCGGAAAAGGAAGAATATGGAACTGTAGACTCTCCCTATTCCCATCTCAGTAGCAACACAGATTGCCTTTGGCTATCCTTTTCATGATTTCTGATTGGCAGCACTACTGGACTGATACCGAAAGGGCTGGAGTGATACAATGAATGTCTTCCTTTTTTTTTTTTTTATTAAACATCAGATCAAGAAGTTGTACATACAAAATAAAGAGACAGAAGAATGATACTTTTATGGCAACAAATACTGGGTGAGTTGGGCTTGCCTGGTCTTGGAACCAGTTTCTCGGGGTTTTTTTAAAAAACAAAATTGGAGCCAGACAGTAGGTAATTTTAATCCACATTTCCTAAACTACACTTCATCTTAACCCCTGCCCCACCCATTCCCTCCCTGCCCCTTTTAGAACTAGGATGCACTGGAACAGGGGAACACAAAGACATTTAGAAAAAGGAAGAAGACATTTTGCTCCTGCTACACTCCATTTCGTTGGACCAAATTAAAAATTCAGATGGATGCAAAGTAGTGGTGGGATATAGGGCAGCAGAAACTATGGCAGAAAGCTGTCCTCAAGAGGGCCCCACCCTTAGCAGATGCCAGCAAAGACAGTAGTTATAATGAAATTGAAACTAAAGACACATATGCAGACTGGTTGCTCCTGCTCCCCAGATGACAAAAATAAAATAAAAATAGAACCCTTTCTAGATTCACAGAGGAATGAACTCTTGCACAAATCAATTCATATGCACGTGGAGAAAGGCCAAAAATAGAGTATTTACACTATGGGCTCAACTGGCTCACAGTCTTGTTCCAGCTTCCTGGGGTCATTTTGTATCCCGTACTTGGAACCATGGTACAAAGTAGCAGAGTCAAGTAGCGTGCTGTGGCTGACAGCCCGGGGGCCAAGTCCACACCCTGATGGCCTTGAAATGCTGAGGTGTATCTGGCTTTGCGGTTGCCACCTTGGTCTCCTCTCTTCCAAGGTTGTGTGTTGTGGTAGGTCTGCTCAAGCTTTTGTTTATTTTCCATTGGTCATACCCCACCCACCTGTCTTTGCCAGCAACGCTGGGGAAAACCTGAGAAATGTTCCTATTTCTCATGTTTGGAAATGCTTAGCCCAGCCCACAACACATTTCAAGTATCCCCAAACAAACAAAAACAAAAAATAATTATAAATAATTAGAACTTTACAATTTAATAATTGACACATATACTATTGTATTTACAATATCATAAATGCTTCTGTTACTTTTAGTAAAGCAATCCCTGAGAACCGTTAACTTTAGGTTTTTAATTAAGGATTTTCACACACACACACACTTGCACACATACTAAACCAACCATCCCCAGCCCTGTGCCCCCCCAGCTATGCTGGAGTCAATTCATTCTATTCCCCAGCCAAGCAAATAGTTTGAAGTCTGGCAAATCTGGAAGGTACCAGGTTGGAGAAGGCTGCACTAAATGGTGACAACTGCCAGTCATGGCAGGATGCACATCTCAAAACCCACCAGCTGAGAACACAGATGGCAGCACAAGAGGCTGAGCAATGTGCTTCCATATTGGCTGCTTTTCCGCCTCCATCCACCATGCTGTTTGGGAAAGAGGTATTCAATTTCCTAGTTAGCCTTTTGGTATTGCTGAAGTGTTTGCAAGTAAGTGGTCATTGGGAAGCAAACTCTTCCTGTCATGCTACTTTTGGTTTATGTTCCTCAAAGAATTGGGAAATTTTCTATGATGAAAACTACAGTTAGTCTTGCCTGGTAAGCATGATTCCACCAACAATGATCAGGGTTTCTTCTTTCCTTTTCCCTAGTGCAGAAGTTCATCCAAATCGTTCTCGCACTAGCAACATGAGCTTCTTCTTGCCCTTATAGATCTGCTTAAGGTTATCTATGAACTGCGCAAACTGAATGTGGCCATCCTGAGCCAGCAGGAAAGTCTCCCGAGCTTTGCTCAGAAACTCAATAAACTCCCCATAATGCCGTGGGCTAATGTGGGTAAGACGGGAGTGTGTGGTATTGATGTAAGCACTTATTGTAGCATCCAGCAGTTGGCGCAAAGGTGCTTTGTCTGTTGACATCAGTTTCCCAGAGTTCCTGCGGCCAGGAATGCCAGCAAGGCCTGGTGCTGTCATAGTGCAGCGTCGCAGAATGTCAGATAGCACTGTGGCACAGTGCACACTCTTTACCACCAATGGAATAATGGCTGCCAGCTCATTCTTACCCAGGGAATGGCTGAGTGCACATGCCCAAAGCACATCATTGATGGCAGGGTGTGTGTCCTGGTTATAGGCAAGGTTGAGGTGTGTCATGGCAAGTGATGCCAGCTTGAAAGCCCGTAATGGGTAGCCACGGTGCTCCATATACCGCGCAATGGTGAAGAGTTGTGAATAAGTCATGCCAGTGGATGCAGCATCTATAACAATTTGGTAGGCAGTCTCAAAAGCAATGTGGTCCTTCTCACAAAGGGTAAGAGCTGAGAGTGCACAGTTCTGAGGATCTTTCATGGCACACTGCAGGGCCAGTGTGCGAGCACAACTAGCCAGTTCTTCTCGCTGCGGATAGTCCAGGCTGAGACGCAAGATGGTGCTGTGGGACATCACTGTTGCTGCTACAATGCTAGTTGCTTCAGTGGGAGTAAAGAGTGAATACCAGCTCTGCAAGATGCTGACCAGGGCCCGAACACCTGCAAGAAAGAATGAACTGCTCAGCCAGTAGTGAAGAACCAGCAAGGTGCACACAATGGTGGCAAGTAAGCTGAGCAATAATTGTATTTTCTTTTTGATCAGATTGGACCAATAGCACATGATCATGATTCTGTCAGGACACCAATACTGCAGTCAATTAAATTTTTGTTTCTTGAAAGTAGCATATCACTGTCCAATTTAGTACTATTCTATCTTTCTTTTACAATGGAGGTTTGAGCTACTCACCAAGATTGCTATAATTTGAGCTACTTACTGTCTGAGTTCAGCTGGAAAATGACATCTTTGGGGAAACTTATCCTACTATCTTTATTTGGTATGTTTTCCTTACAATTAAATTCTTCAATATTTGCTACCTAGGGAGCCAATATTGGGAGAAATAGACTATTTTCCTTATGCCCACATAGAATGAGCTACAAATCACTCATCTTTGTCATGAATTTGGATATTAGTTGTCATCCAGACAACTGGTGCTCAATAGCATCCTAATCTATAGGAACAGAATATACCACACATGTAGATGAGCCCCCCCCCCCCGACTTGCTGCCTTCCAAGTGTTTGGGGACTATGGCTCCCGAACCTCCAGCCAACATTGGGAAAGGCTGAAGTATACTCACTATAGGCTGCAGTCTTCATTTTAAGGATGAGTTCATGAAAATACCTACCAACTTCTGTAGCACAGGTCACCAGCCATCGCACCATCTCCCTCCGTCTCCAGTTCAATGTTGATAGGGTCATGCGCATCACCTGCAACAGTAAAAATTAGTAGAGAATCATTTTTCACCCACCAGTGATATGCAAAGAAATGGTTGCATTCTCCTAGATGAGCATATCATAACTAGAGAACTGCTTTGAAGATAAATAGGTCTGGCTTCTAGCTTCATAAACTGCCTGGATTAGAGGCCATCTGGGAACTGTATGCCTGTTCTGAACTCTTCAGGTTGAGAAATATAAGTGTGGTTAAATTATTTAAATGGACAGTATTCTCTGTAAGAAAGGAGGATGAGGGTTTAAGATCTGAGCTACGCATCTCAGTAGACTCTTCCCTGGCTTTTACGGACATTTCATTAATGTCACTTCAAAGCAGGTTTCCAAACTCGCACAAAGATTTGGAAATACTTAATTTTTCCTGATGATTATTAATGTCCTTACCTGTAGCCCCAATTCTAGTGCCACATTAAGTAGTGTTGTATCAGCATTACTATCAGCAGGTGTGGCAATCTTAAAAGCATCCTGAGCCAGTTTGAAGATCAGAGAGGAAGAGTGGATGTTTTTCTGAATTGCTTCTAAGACAGTCCGTAGACGTAGCATGTCACCTATATGGAAATCAAAAGAAAGTTTATCCATTAGTTGGTTATCCTTACAATAATCTATTTGTAAATAATAGTAAATATCTTCCTATCTAAACTGGATAAAGCCTAAGCAACAGCATTCTTCTTTTGTATACCCCTGCTGGAGAGAAATAAGTTTGGGGGCTCAAATATTCAATCGCAGATTTCTTCCCAGATCCATCAGTGCCTTCCCATGTAGCCTTTTTCAGCTCAAGCAAATATACCAAGGGGGTTTATGACAAATCTACATTTTGCCTGTTTCTAGAGCCAAGCAGGGAAATGCAGCATAGATGCTGCACAACATAAAAGGCTGTTATACAATGCATCATATCATCTGCAATCTGAATGACAGTCATAAATTACCAAACAAAAATATGCCAGGAATATATACCAGCTTATAGTTTACCTCAGAGAATCTCATTAGATTACATTATAAAAATCAAAACATAAGCAACCCCCAAAAGTTTCATTTTTAAATCTATAACAGGCAAAACTTACTTTTAAAAATCCAACTACAGATAAAAATATTTTCTATGGAATAAGTTTGGAGATGCCTTTGGTCTTCAAAGCCCAAAGGTCTGGCTTTAATTTTCTGGCCTTTTGTTCACCTCAAGTAGCCAAACTTCTATCTGTCTTGCTAGGTAGACCCAGCAGTGAGAGCCCAAAGGAAAATAAGACAAAGAGCAATGACTGTACCACAGTGGGTCCTAGTACAGTTGGGCATGAGTTGTTTCATTTTGTTTCAGAACCGGACCTCTCATGACATCCTGGCCAAGAGTTAAGCACAGCCCAGGAAGAGCACCCGGGCCAGAGGCTGATGAGCCAGGCTAGGTCAGCGGGAACCCCATTAGATCTACAGTTCTTATACGGAAATCTGAAACTAAAGAAAGCATCTCTAAGCTTTCCTCAACAGTAACTAAGAGAAGTAATTGCCTGAAAGGGGGACATGAAGGAAGCAATTATATAAGTCACAGAGAAGTAGTTGGTCCCATTACCCCATCATTCCAGTATTGGCAACTCTCCTAAGTACAGCATACCCCCTCACCTGCACTGCAATGAATGAGATGGGAAGCCTGGGAGTAACTTAACTTTGCTTTATGGGAGTTTTTGGCTCCCGGGAGTCCCACCATCCAGTAAGGTAAAAATCCCTTCCTCCTAATACAGTATAGACAGATGGGCTCACATCAACAACAGTTTGCTGATAAAGTGAGAAAGAATTATCCTGTCCAGCATTTCATACTTCGATATATCCCAGCAGGAAATAGTCTGCAGTTTGGTGGTACTGGTCATAAAGGCTGCACAGAGTGTGCAATTGCTTTTGTGGGTAGGTCCACTATCGACTTAAAGCTGATGCTCCCAGTTGCTCATGCACGTTGATGCCTCTTTTCACTTCTCAGGCATCAAAAATGTCTCAATGGTCAAAGCATTCTTGTCCAGATTCTTGAAAGATGAAACAGCTACAACAGAACCCAACAATTTCTCAGGAACGGTACCCTCTATCACTCTCCTTTGGTTTTAATGAAATGACTATATCTACTATTCTACTACTCAGCAGTGTCTGCCTGGCATGCGTCAATTTACTTTCTACTACAAGATTTCTCCTGAGGGCCAGCTGGTGAATATTCCACCCAGGGGACTATGTCCAGTTATATACGGAATCCTTCACCCACCTTTGGCTGCTGTCAGCATGGTGGAAGCAAGTTCACACTGTTGTGATTCCAAGTGTCCCAGAGTAAACCAGCGGGGATACCTGCTAGGTACCACTGAAACAATGTGGTGAGGATGTGTGACATCACCTGAGGGAGTTGTCTCCAAAACAGGCAACCTAGGAAGAACAAAGCAGCAACACCAGGTCAGTAGAAGGGTACCTGCTGGCAATAATTTTAAATCCTCTCTGAATTGTCTTCCTGTGACATGCTGGGGGAAAATGATGTGGAAAAGCTTTCAAAGGCTTTCAGCAGCATATGGTTGCAACACTAATCTTGTACAAACTGGAAAGGTCACTAGAGAACTAAGAAGGGATTTATACACTTATAAAGAAAAATAAAACTTTAGACATATTCCTCTCTTAAGCTTTAATATCAGAGCCAAACCTGATTTGCACTGCAGTTATCTGGTTCTGCTTAATGGGAGGGGGAGATATGTGTGTGTTCTTCCTGGATATTTTATGCACTTTGGAGCTACTGGCTCACATGTTTATACAGGTAATCCTTGAGTTATGATGGTAATTGGGACTGGAATTTCTGTTGCTAAGTGACGCGCTTATAAAGCACAATGTCACGTGACCACATCACTTAGCAATGGGAATCTTGGCAGTCCCCATTGCTGTCATTAACTGAATTCCACTGGTCGTTAGGCGAGGACCAACCCCAATCCAAGCCATTTCCGGCTTGATTCCTCCCAGCCCCGAGTCTTGGTAAGGTAAGGGTTAGGGTTAGGTAAAGGTTAGGGTTAGGCCTAACCCTAACCCTGTGCCTCTTCAACTCCCCCATCTCTGCCCTGCACAGCGGCACTGTTCAGTGGTGGGGGCACTGGGGCTGAAGTAGTTGCCTGGGGCCTTCAGCAGTCTTAGCCGGCCACCACCTACCCTGGGCCCCTACTTCAGCCCCAGTGCCACTGGCGCTGCTGCCAAGGAGTGCTGCCTCAAGTCCTGTGCCACGGCCAGCCACTCCATTGCCAAGCCCCAGCCGTTCCTGCCACCCTGCACTCTACAGGCCCTGCTATGCCCAGCTGACCTTTGCTGTGCGCCCAGCCTGGCCCTATGCAAGGCAGCTGCTGGCTGTGCCAGGCTTTCTTCCTGAGGCTGCTTGTGCCATTCTCCAAAAAGTGCGTGCCATTCTCATGATGCTTTGGAAAGCTTTTGGAAAGCTTCTGAGGCCTTCTGAAGCATTGTGAGAATAATGCACATGATTTGGAGAACGCTAGGCATTGCCTTTTCGTGATGCTTTGGAAGGCTTCAGAAGCTTTCCAGAAGCAGCCTTGGGAAGAAGGTCTGGCATGGCCAGCAGCTGCCTCACATAGGGCTAGGCTGGGCACACCTCATCAGCAGCGGGAGAAAGACAGAGAAGGTCAGCTGGGTGCCGCAGGGCTTGTGGAGCATACGGCAGTGGGGGCAGCTGGGGCTTTGCGCTGTGGCACTGGGGTGGCTGGCCATGGCATGGGGCTTGAGGCAGCACTCCTTGGCAATGATGCCAGGGCTGAAGTAAAGGCCCAGGGGTGGTGGTGGCCAGCTGAGACTGCTGAAGCCCCGGGCCTCTAGTACAGCCCCAGGGCTGCCACCGCCAAAGAATTCCGTTGTGCAGAGGGCCAAAAGGGCAGAGATGGGGGGGAGATAGGCGGGTGGGGGGAGTTGAAGCACCACTGCGGTTTTAAGTGCAGGTGGGCTGTCAAGGGCCTGAATTTTGACCATGGGAGCACTGGAATGGCCCTAACTTCGGGGATCAGGCATAAATACTATTTGTTCAGTGCCACTGTGACTTTGAACGGTTGCTGAATAAATGGTCTAAGCGAGTACCTGTAGTTAAGAGGCTTGGGAATCTAAGGAACATGAAGCCAGAGCTCTCCTGCCTAGCTATATCTGCTTCCCAGGATATGCAGCAATTATCACAGCCAATGGCTTCCTGTGTTTATTATTACAACCTTCTAGGTAATGGCAAATTACAATTGTCTACCGAGTCTATCCAACCCTCTGCACGTTTGGTTGGAGCAACAATAGCAAAGCTACATGTGACTACATCAAAAACTATTCACAAGGTTAAGATGTACAGGTAGTCTTCGCTTACTGACTGTCACAGCGTCCCCACAGTCATGTGATCGCCATTCGAGCACTTTGCAACTGGCTTCTGACAAGCAGAGTCAATGGAGAAGCCAGCAGTAAAATTGCAAGTCTCAGTCACGTGATGTCTCGCTTAATAAAGGCAGCGATTCGCTTATTGACGGAAGCAATGTCATAAATCTGGCATGGTCACATGGTTTTTTGGCTAGCAACCGTGGTGCTTAGTGATGGAGTTGCCAGTCCCAATTGTGGTTGGTAAGTGAAGACTACTTTCTCTGTTATGGGCATCTGACAAATTATGTTTCACCACTGTTACCTGCAAGCATGGACCTGCTAGAATTTCTACATTCTGTTTGATTAAAATGTAACTTCAAATGCTAAGTTAGTAAAGAAGTAATACTTACTGATGAAATTGGCCAACCATACTTACTAATCAGGAAGTTTATTTTCACATACTTAAAAAAAGGATGAACATATATGCACATGCATTCTTTAAAAATCTATTTAAAAATGCTGCAAACATTTTGATGTTGGAGAAGGTTGAGAAGAATGCCAAACTTTAGAAAAAAAAATCTTGTCATTGTTGCTTTCACTTGACTTTTATTAACAAAGGGAATCAAAAAAGTGGTACCAACCTCATGGAGCGCAGTGCCAGCTTGTAGGCCAGGTCAGCATCATGGGGCAGTAAGGCAGAAAAGAGATACTTTGCAAAAGTGTGCATAGGCACACTTTCCCGGTGGATGACCTCACCAAGGCCACTGAAGGGACCACCTAGGCAAGAGCAGAAGCACATCAGTATCTCTCCTTCAACCAACCTTATTTAACAGATTTATATCTTACTTTTCCAGCAAGAACTCAAGATGGCATATATAGTATTCCCTCCTCCAACTGTCCCAGAACAATCCTATGAGGTCACCCAGTAAGCTACCATGACCAAGGTTGGACTTGAACCTAGGTCTCTAATGTGATGACACATCTTCCCACCACCAAACTGAAGACCAGATGCTCCTACTCATCTTCCTGATATTTTCAGCTCAGATACCATGGTTAGAAAGGTTACAGACAGCAACTCGTCTTCTCTCCTTCCACCTCTATGGCAGTGGCCAAGTTACCTATTAATTTCCTTTACTTTTCAAAGGAAACTACAGACTCGTGAATACACAGGCTTTGGAGTCCACAGTGGGGTGGAGGGGGAAAGCAGCATTTTTAAAGCAGCGCAAGGCACCGACTAGGATTGTCTTTTAAATTCAGCTGCCAGAACTCTTCAGGTAAGAAGCTACAGTAATCACTGCAAAGGGCTCCTGTTTCAGTTAAAAAAAAAAAAAAGCAGGGGATGAGGAAATATATACAGAAAATGTTCAAATTTAAGAAAAGGTGTGTGTAGCACCTCTAATGCTCAGAGATTCAGGACACTAAACTACCCACCCAACGAGATCAATAGACAAATCAATAGAGCCAGATCAATTCTCAGAGAGGACTTATTACAAGACAGACCACAAAGGGCTCCTGTTGTTCTAGAAATAGAACAACAGAACACCACTGGTTGTCACCTACGGCTCACAGCTCAAACCACTCAAATGCATTATTAGTAAGCTACAGCGCATACTGGGCAATGATACTGCATTTTCTCAGGCACTGAGTGCCAGGCCCGTACTTACAGACAGCCACCCAGCCTGAAGCAGATTCTCATAAACAGCAAGAAACAACATGGGAACCAGACCCTGCAACAAATCCGTATGTCTACTTTGCCCTCACATCTATACCAACAGCACTATCATAGGCCCCAACAAGCACACACACAAGATTAGAGGTGCCTTCATTCCTCCAATGTGATATACTATATACCATCATCTGCCCGCAGTGCCCTTTTGGATCCTACATAGGACAAATGGGACAAACTTTGTGCAAAAGAATTCATGGACACAAATTTAATATCAAGACTCAAAACAAAGTAATATCAGAGCATTTCAACTTCCCAGGATATCCCATTGCAGACCTCAAAGTGACTGTTTTGGCAAAGCAGGACTTTAACAGCACCATCGAGCAAAGGCAATCTCAGAAGGTCTCATCAAACACAATGGGTTTCCAACACGTTATAACTGTTAATTATTAAGGTCCTTGTAATCTGCTTCATGTGTAACCTGCATCTGCATGACCACCTTGCCCTCCCCTCCATCTCCCTCCCCTCCCTCCAATTGAATCTTACATCATTCTAGCCAGTCTATGCATTTAATGAAGTGAGCTGTAACTCACAAAAGTGTATGTCTCTTAATAAAATTGGTTAGTCAGAAAAGATGCTACCAGACTCTTTCTGAATTTTTTTACCACTAAAGATTAACATGGCTCTCTTCCTACAATCTCTGATACTATGTAATTGTATTACCTAATCATGGTATTCCCAACCTCTTTTCCATAATACATATATCACTACCAAATTCTTCCATTCAAAAGTATTTTGATACCATTATCCGATTGGCATATGTTATTGTAACCAAGGGACATGGTCTGGGTTTCTAATTGCAGAATATGGAATTTACTGGAGAGAATCTAGATTTTTTTTCTGGGTAGTGGACAGAGCTTTGTATCTCATGAGTGGCTGATAGCAGCATCTCAATTTTCTCACCTTCCAGAAGCAGAATGCACTGCTTGCGGAGTGTCTGCACCAACACAGCATCAAGCTCCAGCTCTTGCAGGCAGGCAATAATCTGTTCCTCATTACGCCACACTTTGTCTTGCGCATAAAGGCCTTCTGGCATCACCCGTTGCTGCCCCATCCCCATCAGCGCCACTTCCAAAGCCAGGGATAGGTAGGATTCCCCATTCTCAGGGCAACTGTTGGCCACGGGCACATGCTGATATACTGGAGGCTTTGACTCACCAGCATCTGATGGCGAAGAAGAGAATAATAGGGTAGGTGGACCAGACTCCGTGTAGTAATTGTAATTTCCTCTCACGCTTTCCAAGATTCACCATCAGGTTGGCTCTATTAACGCCATTGGTCCAGACTACCCACTTACAGCACAACACAATGACTGTTTTTGCCGCAGCTCAAGTGCTCAAATATCCTGGTTCATCTGGGCTGAGCTACACAGACAGATTCGTTAATTCCACCCTATACCATTTTCCTGGAGAAGCACACTGCATGGGAATCATAAGGAGCATCACATAAACCCTTTGACTATGAACAAATTAACACAGAGAAACACTGCTAGCAAGCAGAATATATTCTGGAATCAGCAACTGATTTTTGCATTTTTCACACAAAGAACTTGGTCTGGTATCACTTCCTGGGGAATAGCAGGAGGAGTCAGCCATGCCAAGTGCAGACACTAAAGAGCAAAACTTTAAAGGAAGGTGTCTTATTATTATCAGCTAGAGCTAAGGAGCTACACGACAAAAGTCTTAGGGCCATTGGGAGGCTGCATCTCCTCTCTCCCAGGGAAACTTCCATTGGCCAGAAGAAAAAAGCTTCTACTCTAAGTACCTGCTTTCTTCACCCCCTTATTCCTTTTGTATTGTAACAAATTGTGGGCTGGACTTTTCTTATTTATTCATATACCTACAGTTTTTAGAAAAAATAGTCATTTGATAACAGCAGTAATCTGTGGATTGCTCCAAACTGGACATAGGGGAAAAGAACAGAAGCTGGTTTAAATTCAGAGTTTGCAATCTGAAATTCTCATTCTCATACCTGAAATATCAAGGCTGTTTTCATCCTCTATTCGACATGCTTCTGTCAAAGTGAGAAATAAACAGCCAATAGGATTGAGAGGATGTCCTACCCAGCTTTCCAGGTTTGTGATGGTGGTTGCTCCTCTTTGCAACAGTTCTAGAGGACAGTACAGAACAAGAACAATCCCAGAGTAAGGTCACAGGGTGCATCCTCTTTAGTTTCATCTTCCAAACACAATGTTCAAAACTGGCAGAGGACAACCAAATATCCCTGCACATTTGTGATAATGGGGATTCCTTTCAATTTGTTTTATTTATTCTCTAGTCTTCCATTTTGACAAGGCTGTTTCCATACTGGATAAGGTGACAGGTCAATTTTGATCTCAGATTTTGAAATACTGTAAGCTCCACACACACTGTGTTTACAAAAAGACCGATGGCCAATTCAGTCCAACAGAACTCACTTATGCAAGTATCCTCTATGTGGGCAACACCAACTTCAAATGGACAGTTGTTTTTTTTTAAAGGTAATTGCAAAAATAATTGCTCTAGTCTAAGGTTAAAATCTGTTTGGAAAGATCAGGGTGGCAACTTTGGGCTCTGTTATCCTCCAAACAGCATAAAAATAATGTATCAAGAAGTCCAAATTAACATTCAGAAAGTTAGATTGGCATCAAAGACACAATTACAAGCTAGTTCACACCTTTCTTTTGATGTTTGTATATCTCCAGCTGCCTCTGTTGCTGCAGTCTCAGGGTATTGATTATGGCCACAGTTAGACGGAGCGCTTCCTTGGGGTATCCATGGGAGCGTAGGGCATCAACCCGGGCACAAGCAGTTGGAACATGTTCTGTGGCATCATATAAGGATAGAAGGCAATTAAGCGCCAATTAGATACAGATGAATTATACTGATGGTCTATGCTAAAGAATCAATTGAACACTAGGAATTTAAGGTTAAGTTTCATTTACACATTTTCTTCTTTGTTTTTCTCTTAAGGATGACATACATGTGCAGAAATAGGCCACTTTTTTAGCGTGAGCTTTTGATGTTGCTTGATTTTTTGTTTGCCTTTTCCACAGGGGATCATTGTATGCTGTAATATGCAGATGATTCTGATCATAGACTGTACTTCAACTCTTATATCTGTCAACCCACTATTGTATCCTAACCTTGTGCTTTTAATAAAACCAAATAAAGCCCATAGAGATATCATGAAACACATTTTTCAAATATTTCCTTTCAAAAGGTAATTCAAATATGCAGAGGTAAGATCTTCCCTGACTATATACTGTCAGACCATAAGGTCCCTCTTACAGCAAAGATCTCCCTTTCAGAGAAAGAAGGTAAATAGGGGAACAATTGTAACCTAGCATAGCCTTTTCCCTAACATGCTAATTTTATTGGAAAAGGAAGTTGCTTATGTATGTTTTGTATCTCTCCTACTAGATGGGAAAAGGCAGTCCCATCGTTTTATTACATCTAGCATTCAAACAAAGTCACAGTTACAGTTCCATCCTTCAAACCTCCCCTTTACACAAATCTCTTTATGAAGGAGAGACTTGATGCAGTCTTCTATCTTTTATAACTCCTGCTCAACCTCCAGAATATCTCTCTGGAAGTGATTCTGTATCAAGTGTATGTTCTGTGCCATTCTAGAGAGTGTTATTATCAGAGAACAATTTGCCCTGTGGCAACACAACTGCATGGCATAGAAATTCATCTGTTCTTGATGGTTGTTTTCCCCCTGAAGTCACAGTGGCTTGGAGAGGATTATGACTTGAAGGGAGAAGTCATATGGAGGAGATGATGACACAGACTGGTTGGAAAGCAGCAAAGAGCCTCTTCCTCTCCAAATGTCCCTGTCATGGGAATGCAGGAGACAGAAAGTCACAGGAGCTGACAATCCGTAAAAAAATATTTTTCGTAAGGTATCGTGAGATCTTTAATGGTAGCTACATCCCTCTCCCGTGTCTTCCTCCAAATCCTCAGCTGATTTGCTCAATGCTTTTAATGCTCCTGAAGAAAATTCTTGGGGCCCTTTCGAAAAAGTTTGTTCATTATACAGTATGTATACACAACTTTCAAATTATATCATTCAGACGTTGCTGGTAAATCAAAAACAATTCCTCAATGCTCTCAATTTCCTCCAGGAGGAGCTCCAAGCAAAGTAAGCAGGAAGATTAGACAGCGCATGTTATTTATGCCTTTGGCAAGTCTAAATGATCTATCCAGATAAGGACTGAGGAAAATGAGGATGCAGAGATGGCTAAAAACCTTTTGTGACCCCATCCAGGTCCCATGCATTCGCCAAAGGAGGGACCTAAGGTAGCCACAGCCCTGCAAGTGCATTATCAGATTTTATAGTGCTTCACTGGCCCATATTGTATTGTACCTCTATACTATGCAGCCAGGTGTCTTAGCTCTGGCAGGACACCGCTAAGTCCCTGAACTTCTATATTCTATGCTGCACAGCACCTATACCCCTGATAAAGCTGCAGAGAGTTGGATCTGTAATATTTTGGCATGGGGCTGTCTAGTTTAGCAGGGGAGGCTTTGCTGATGTAGATGAAAAGTCCATTACAGTCTTTCTATACAACCATTGTGTATCTTCTGTGTTCAGCTACAGATTTCAGTTTTAATGCTTTTCATTTAATCTCAATCAA